GAGAGAAAGAAAAACATATATATATATATATATATACACACACACACACATACATACACACACACACACACACACACACACACACCCTATGATTACATTTAGGTAAGGTTCAAAAATGGGCAAAAGTAACCTAACTGTTAGAAATCAGGATGGCAGTTGCCATCTTTTGCAGAGGAGGTGAATAAGGTTTACGTCTGGGATATTGATAATACTCCATTCTTGACCTGGATGATTGTTACAGAGGTGATAACTGAGATAATTCATCAAATAATACCACTGAAGAGGTGTGTGCACTTTTCTTGGGAAAAGTTATACGTTATACTGGGGAAAAAGTTTACTTTTAATAAGTCTAGAACTAAAATCTCTTTCAGTCAAGTACTCTGTTACTTGTACCAAAATTATCTTCACTGTTTATTTGTGTGACTTTGGGCAAGTCACTTAACCTCTCTGTGTCTATTTCTTTATCTGTAATAGCAGCTGATATGTAGAGTTGATGAGAGAAAGTACGTGATATGAGTATATGAAACATGCTTAACAAGTGTCACACACAAGTAAGCATTCAAAGCTGTTAGCCATTTGATTTCCTGGGATTCCACTGGCTCCTGCCCTCATCATATTTAGGACCTATATCTCCATTTATTGTATCCTCTGGATTAGGTGAAGGCACACTGAAATAGACAAGTCCATCTACTCTGTTGGGAGGACAATCTGAGCATCTGTAACAAGAGCTCAGAAAATGTTTGCACCCAGTATTCCATTCTAGGAGCCTATCCTAAGGAGAGAAGACACGCAGAAAAGATTTACATGCTGCAATGCTGTTATGTGCAATTGGATGTTATTCATAGAAGTGAAAAACTGCAAACTATTATAACAGGAAACAGTTAAAACAATAAACAATGCCAATGAGAACTGTTAATGACACAAAAAAGTTAAATATAAAAGCAAGAGGCTTATTTATATCCATTAAAAAATGACAAATACACACAGAAAAGATTAGAAGAAATTATACCAGAATTTAAGCTATTTGTTCCTACATGACAGTATATAAGAACTTTACAGGACTTTACATTTTTCTTCCTTATACTTGTCTGTATTTTTCAATATTCTTCTGTGAGTATATATTACCTCTTATAATAGGAAAAAGAAATGTTAAACAAAGAATTGTACCACCTTCTCCGGAGGCCTCTGTCTCTGTTGTCAAGGTGACAGCCAGCTGCAATCCATCATATTTTAGGAAGGACACTACACAGTGAAAGTGTCTGAAGGAAGGTGACTGGCAGGGTGGCAAGGACTTCAACAACAAGCCCCCTGAGGAATGGGACGTGCACCTTGAGAAGGACGATTTAACCACTTGTCTTGGAACATCTGTTGTGCAGAAGACAGATTGCACTTGCTCTACTAGGCTCCAGAGGTCAGAATCAAGACCAGCAGATCAAAGTCACAAGGAGAGAAGGGGAGGAGGAAGATTATAGCTGCGGAAGCAAGCATGCTGTATGAGCACACTATAAGCCTCGGGTTTCCTTCCTATCTAACAGTAAGGAGCTTCCCTGGAGATGTCCAGTGGATTATCTTGTGAGCACTGGGCAACCATTCAGCACCATCCTGTGGCCATCCTCTGCCAGCTTCTCATACCAGCCTACTCTGTGGAGAACCATGAGTTAGGATCTCTGAAATTTATAACCAAACTAGAGGCCCGGTACATGAATTTGTACACAGGTGAGGCCTGGCCAAATCAGGGTCGGGCTGGCCAGGGGGGAGGGTCCTCAGGAGGTTGGCCAGCCGGCTGGCCCCACCCCCGATCGGGCCGGTTGGCTGCCCCAGTGAGTGTTATAACAACTGGTCATTCTGGTCATTCCATCACTTGGCTTTTATATATACAGATTCCAGCCTGGGTGTAAGCACTTGACTCTCCTTTTAATCTTTATCCCTTGCCTTGTAGCAAGTTCAAATTTTACCCAAATTAGGCCACTTCTTTCCATTTTTTCCACTTGTCCACTTTAGTCTAAGCTGTCATCATCCTCTCTTCCCTGGACCACTACAATGACTTCTTAACTGGTTCCTCTCTTCTACTGTTGCCACCCCTATCCCCAGTCTATTAGCTACATAGGATATCAAGTAATGGTTTTCTTAAGCTAAAGTAAAAAATCATTAATACAACTACAAGATTCAAAGTGGAGACTCTTTAACAGGGCTCTTCCCCATTGCTCCCTGGCCACTATTTAGGTTCCTCATTTGAGCCCAACTCTTTCCACCTCAGGACACTTGCATATGCTGACACACTCCATCTCCCACTGTCTTGACCCTTCTACAACTCAAATCTCAGATGTCATTTCCTAATTTTAATTCTGTGATGGCATCTCAACACTCTAAGATCCTTTATATAAGTAGCTTATGTGATTTTTGTGACCCACAACTGTCCCGTTTGCACCCACTGCCTCTGGTCTCTCAACTAAGCAGAATGTGCTGCCCCCACCGCCTCACCAATCCCTCAGATTCACCAGCATTCTCCTCACCCATCAGTTTTTATGCATGTTCTTTCCTACTCCTGAAAAAATATTCTTGTGGCTACATTTCATCACCTTCATGGCTCACCCTGTGGACAAAAAAGGAGCCACATACTAAACCTGTAAAACTCAGGGGAGACCTACATGGCAGCCTCAGAGACTGATAACCACATAGGATGGTCTGAAATCAAAACTTCCTAACTAAAAGGGAGTCATGGCATGTCCTAGGCCTGTAGCTTCCCTGACAAAGGTCAACCTTTACCTTAACTGATGCTGTTGATTGTTTTTTTGCATCTATGATAACATACCTTCAGAATGTCAGAGTAATTCCCTTTTCCAGACTCAAGTACCAGCACCACGCCAGAGACCACAGAACCCATCATTGTTATCTTGTTCCCCAAATACCATCTTTGTGGGCTGTAAATGTTAACTATCCTGTACACACCAATGTAAAAGAAGCACGTGTCTATGTGTTTTATTTTTAAAAATATTTCTTTTAATTGATTTCGGAGAGGAAAGAAGAGAGAGAGAGAGCGAGAGAGAGAGAGAGAGAGAGAGAGAGAAACATCAATGATGAGAGAGAATCATTGATCAGCTACTTCCTACATGCCCCACCCTGGGGATCGAGCCTGCAACCAGGGCATGTGCCCTGACCAGGAATTGAACCATGACCTCCTGGTTCACAAGTTGATGCTCAACCACTGAGCCATGCCAGCCAGTGGTTATACTTTTTATCCAAGCCCAGAGATTTCCCTGCTTTCCTTTCTCCAACCCCCTTAATCTACCACCATGTCTCTTCCTTTGATTCTAATGTATAAAATAAGCTGCAAAACTGCCACTCTCCAGAGCATTTTCTCAATTCGTTGAGATTTTGCTTCCTGGGAATTATTGTCAGTTTCGCTCAAATAAACTCATAAAATTTCTCTACAGGGTTGAATGTTTCTTACATAGACACCCTGAATGCTGCCTCCTCAGGAAAGCATCCCTTACCTCTAAATATTGAGCTAGGAACCTCCCCATGTGTGCCTATAGCACCTATAATTACTCCATTATAGCATTTATTATATTCAATTGCATTTCCTGCTATCTTGGTAAACTATATGGAGGCAGAGAGTGCATCAATATTGCTCATAACTATTGAAGAAATGACTTCATTTAAAATATATGACACCCGGCCCCCAAAAAGAAGCAAATAAAGGTTTAAAAATGTTGAAAAATAATAGACCCCAATGGGAAATAGTCTAATAAATAATATTTTCTTCCTATAATAATGAAGCAAATCTAGACTTCAATCAATTCCCTGTCCCAAGCAAAGGGTCATGTATTGCCACTTGCATTTTCACTAGCAGGCACAGTAATTATTCTTCCCCCGCATTTGAATGCTCTGGGGCCATTATCAGTATTCACACAAAAAGATCAATAGGTACTAAATAGATTATAAAGATGTATAACATTGAATTCATAAAATGCAGTACATAAAAGTAAATCAAGGAAACACCAGAAGACATGAGACTAATGAGTAAAAAATAAATATTCCATAGTCTGCTTCCCTAGAGGCATAACAGTGCCTATCCTATCTAATAAAGAGGGAATATGTTAATTTACCATCATGCTTTCACAAGATGGCAGCACCCACAGCCAATAAAGAGGAAATATGCTAATTGACTGCCATGTCCTCACAAGATGGCGGCGCCCAGTCCCCTCAGCCCTGCCTCATTAAAAAAGAACTCTATAGTGAAGGAAGTAATGTTTCCATTTTAAAGTAAGAAGTCTGGAAAGTTAAATATGGTATATTCATATGATGGAATGCTATATAACTGTAATAAAACCAGTGGGGTAGATCAGATGGTGCTAACTTATTAACAAGGATGATTGCTGAATAAAAAAAGCAAGAAGTGGGATACTCTTTAAAGTATCTCATTTACTAATATATTAAAAAATAACAAGAAGAAAATGATGAAAAAGATACATAAGTGAATTTGCAATGATATTCTTGGGAAGGGCAATCAAAATCTGATGGTCTGAGATGGAAAAGAAACACATTTTTCATTGTACTTTTGTATCATAAAATGCTTTACCATTTTCCTGTTATTTTCATAGTATGAAAGCTTACTAAAGGAGCTTAGCATTAATTATTACTTATTGGCCCACGCCAACCTGTGTCTGGCACATAATTGCAATAACAGTATTTATTGCATAGATGTAAGTAAATAATGCTATTAACTACCATTTATTAAAACACATTTATCTTTTCGATCCACTATATCAGGTTCCATTGCATTAATACAGGCAAAAACACTCTGCAGTGAGCCAGTCCCTATATGTGCTTAAAGAAACAGAAGTCCAACAATTCTGAAAAATATCCTGTAACTCAAACTTTTTCTTCATGCTTCTTTCTCTTGTTTCTTAAGGTTTGAATTGGTCAATAATTTAACCAGAAACTGGTTTGAAGAAGGCAAATCTGTAAACAAACATCACCACTTGATGGGCCCTACCAATTAATTTTCTCATATATTTTGGAAAGAGTTGGTGCAGATTCATTTGAAAAAACCTGCATCATTGCCAATAGTAATCATGAAGATGTTCTACATAGTGAGAGTAACCTTTATGCATCTTGAAGGCCTTCGGCTTTACATTCAGCTCTTAGGAATTCCTTACATGACCAGCTGCTATCTCCCAGTGAGTGATGGTGAGCTAAGGAATTAGAAACTGACAGTTCTGTTTCCTTAGTGTTGATAAAGGGGAAACAAATTATGTATTTGCACTGAGTGTGCAATACATTGTTTTAACTTGTTTTGTTGGAGCTTTTCTCCCTTTAAGTAGCAACTAGGGGGAAAAAAGACAGCTGGTAACTTTTTCAGGGAAAATCTTAACAGATTTGTGGGTATAACTCTACTCTGTTTTGTAAATAAACCCCAGGCAATGGCATACATTAAAATTTGTTTTTTAAATGGTTTCACCAAGAGCAATGTACTAGAAACTAAAGTCCTAGTATCCTAATAACCACAAGAACCACCATGTATGGAACACTCCTTATAGGCTGGCATAGTGCAAAGCGCTTTACAGGCAAGTTAACAGTTTAATGCTCACAACTCTATGGGGATGTCATTATTATTCAGATTTTGCACATGAATAAACTGAAGCTCACTGAGATGTATTGGTCTGCTCACGTCATACAGCTAGTGAGTGGAAGAACTGAGATTCAAGCCGACTTTTGAAGAACTCCAGATCTTCCTGGAACATGGTTTTCCATCTGTGCTCAACAGGTGTATAGAGAGAGAACAGTAAGAATTAGAGGGACAAGGATTAACCTTCTCCGACTCTGGCACCTTTAAGCAGAGCATGTCAGGTGTGGTAGACAAACAACAGCTCTGGCACTCAGAAGCCTAGGATTGTTCCGGTCCTGCCATGAGCAAACCTGTTTGCATCACTTAATCTGTCCAAGCCTTGTTCTCTGTGGCTATCAGACGAGGTGCTAGACTAGAATAGTCCTCAGCCCTAAAACTACATCTACGAGGAAGGGCTGTGTAGATGCAATTTTGCTTGGATGCTAAAGTACAAAAAGGTTAAACCTAAGCCATCAAGCATACATTTAAGCACATCATGTCCACTTTACAGAGAAAAACCCTGACAGAGTATTAATCAGCAGCCAGCTTCCAATTTAATTGCAACAATGACCTACAGTGGCCATTGTAAATCCAGTGGTCAATTTCTGGTCATCTTAACGGACCTATCAGCAGCATTTGACAGAGTTAACAGACTCCTTCCTCTTTGAAACCTTTTCTTCACTGGACTTCCAAGATCCTACTGTCCACTGGGTTCTCCGTTACCTCACTGGAGGCTCCTTCACCTCCTCTTACAGCTCATGCAGTGCCTCAGCACCTCTATGTCCACTAATCCTTTTGGCAGTCTCCTCCAATTTCATAGATTTAAAAGCAGTCCACATGCTGATGACTTCAAGTGTGTAGCCCTATCCCAGAACTCCAGATGTTTACATTCAGCTGTCTACTCAGCGGCTCTGTTAGTATGTCTAATGGGTATCTCATGCCCCAAAATGAGTTCCTATGTTCCCCCAACTCTGCCCTTAGTGAAGGTCCATTGCAGTAAATGGGCACTCCACCCTTCTATATGCTCAGGCCAGGGGGCCTTATTAAGGATTAATGCCAAAGTCCTTACAACTCACAAATCCTCCCAGGATCTTATCTCCACTCACCCCCAATTCTCTTTCTGATCTCATCTCCAGTTACTCTTCCCCACTGCTACCCATCTCCAGCTACTCCAGCTAGTCTTAACTAGCTCACTTACTATTCCCAATACTTGGACAATGTTCCCCAGACCCTGGGTATTCACAAGGCTGATTCCCTCACCTTTCTTGGGTATTTGTTCAAATATCACCTTTCCCTGATCATTCCTCAAAGCATTCTATTTCCTTCTCCCTTGCTTTTATCCGATATAATAAAACCCTAATATGCAAAACGACCGAACAGCAGAACGACCGGTCGCTATGAAGATGCACTGACCACCAGAGGGCAGACGCTCAATGCAGGAGCTGCCCCCTGGTGGTCAGTGCTCTCCCACAGGGGGAGTGCCACTCAGCCAGAAGCTAGGCTCATGGCTGGCGAGCACAGTGGCAGTGGCGGGAGCCCCTCCTGCCTCTGCTGCATGAGGACGGTAAGGAGGGAGGGATCCTGGACTGCAAGAGCCCCGGACTAAGAGGGTTGTCTGACTTCCTGCTTAGGCCTGATCCCTGTGGGGAACAGGACTAAGCCATCAGTTAGACATCCCCTGAGGGGTCCCGGACTGCGAGAGGGCACAGGCTGGGCTGAGAGACTCGCCCACCCCTCAGTGCATGAATGTCATACACCAGGCCTCTCTAGTTTTTTCATAAAATTTCACCATCTGGACAGATACATGCAAAAAAAAAAAAAAAAGAAAAAGAAACGAAAAAGAAAGAAAGAAAGAAAAATAAAAGGAAAAAAGAAACTAGACCATTTTCTTACCCTTTATATAAGAATACACTCAAAATGGATTAAAGACAAATATAAGACTTGAAACCATAAAACTCCTAAAAGAAAACATAGGCAATAAAATCTCTGA